CTCTCCATCCCCAAAATGAATTTTAAAACCCATATACATGTAAGTGTGTACATATATGATTAAGCACATATGTACTTGTATGTGCTTCTACTTTGTGTATTTGCATTCCATGAAAGAGATCTGTAGTCATTGCTATGTATCTTTATCTCTGCATTTCATTTTTCTCTGTTTTTGTCTCTGTCTCATTCTCTGTCTCCCTGTATGTCCCTGTCTGTCTTTCTGATTCTGTCTTTCTTTCCATTTGTTTCTCTCTTTCAACTCTCTTCTCTCATCTTTCTTCTCTGCTCTGCTCTTCTCTTCTCTCTCTGTCTCTCTCTCTCTCTCTGTCTCTCTCCCCCTCTTCTTATTCCTCTCCCTCTCTCTAAGAGATCTTTAGATTATGGAGTTATTTGCCTAAAATAATAATCGGGCTTTTTTTCTTTCAAGAATAGATCAGAATTAAAAACTATAGAAAGAGTGATGATGGTTCTAGAACCAGACATTGACCAAAAAATACCATCTCTTGATACTATCTGTATTTTGAAAAGTAATTGAACACTATAGGTATAAAAAAGCCTAAGAGAATTTTAGTATCTACTATGACTTGGGGCTGGTGCTGCGTGTGGTGCCTGGGATCAAACACAAGTCCCTGTGATTGCCTAAGCAGGAGGTTAGTCCACTGAGCTATCTTGACAGCCCAGACTTAAATATTTTTTAGAAAATTACAAATGAGTTTTTCAGGATGCACATGCCTGAAATCCCAGCACTGGGTCAGCGGAGGCATGAGGAATCTCCTGAGTTCAAGGCCAGCCTGGGCTACATAGTGAGTACAGCCCAGCTTGAAATATATCAGGAGACCTTATGTCAATAACCAAACAAACAAACAAAAAACTAGGAAAGACAGAAAACAAGAGTAAATACCAAGTGGAACAGATAAAAATAAATAGCAAGATGATTTAAACTTAACCTCATAAATAATCATAATGAATGTTAATAGCCTAAATATCCCACTTAAAAAGCATACATTTTCAGATATTATGCACAAAGTGAACTTGAACTATATTCTGCCTGCAAAAGACTCACTTTTAACATAAAGTACTCATAAATTAACATAAGAACACATGAGTTAAAAATATATACCACATAAACTTAATCAAGGGGAAATTTGGGTAGCTATATTTATATTGGGAAAAGAATTTCAATGCACAACACATTAGTTCAAGAGCTCATTGCTTAGTGATAAGTCATGAAATTTTGAAGAATTTATAAATTTTGAACATTATATACTTAAAGCAGAGCTTTGAAATACATCTCACTAGAACTATGAGAACTATGAATAAACATGTATCTATGATTACAGTACAAGTATCAATACTTCCATATAACTAACTGATATTATTATCGAAAATAAGCAACCAAAACCAAGTCTGTAGAAAATCAGAAAAGATATTGAAAACTGGAGCAGCACCCTTATGTAACTTGATTTGATGATTATGGATAGAATATTCTAACTCAGAGTGGCTCAGTGGTTCTGTAAAATTAAATGTAGAACAGTTGTAAACACAGATTACAGTTCAATTCACAAAACTAATAACAATAAATTTAGGGGGTTTCACAGCAATCACAGTAAAGTGACGAAAATGGAACTTTAGAAAAAGCATCAGAGGAGCAAGGGAGATAGCTTAGCGGTTTAAGCACCTACCTGGCAACACCAGGACCCAAGTTCCATGCCTGGCACCACATGCTACTTTTGAACATGAATAAGAAAAGCATGCTTAATATACCACAAAAGTGCAATGCAGGATAGAAATTCTATGATTAAAATCTATTAGAAAACAAAACATTACAGAACTCTTTCCATATAAGAAAAATATAATGAAAAAAGTTCATGAATCAGGATGAAATGTTAAAATTGTTTCCCCTAAAATATATGACAAGCCTATGAGACCACATGGAACCTTTACTACAGCTTCAACTTATCACTGGAAACAACAGCAGGCAGTAAAAATAAGCAAAGAAAAGACACGTAGCTTTTGCACTTGAAAAGAAAAAAATAATGTGACTCTTAATAGATGAAGTAGCTGTTTATAGAGAAAATCCCCAAGAGTATCTACTTGAATAATACAACTAACAAATAAAATCAGTGAAGTCACCAGATATAAAATCAGGACACCAACTTCAACTGTGTCTATGTTTACAGTAATAAAAATTACTGATGAAAATTTAAAGTAATAGGACCACTTACAGAGTATATAGGCAAATAACTAGATTTGAATATGGAACATACAAAAAATGATAGAAAAGAAAATTATATGTTGAAGAACATAGCATGAAATGATTGGAAAAGCCAAAATTACCCAGATGACGAAAACTTAAAAGTACATAGAAGGTTAAATGCAGCCTCAAACATAATCCCATTATGATTTATTTAAATTTTTGTGATCCCATTTTTAAACAGCTTTACTGAAATTAATGCACATAGCGTGTAACTCATCCATTAACATGGCTATATATCAGTGTTTTTGGCACACTCACAGAGCACAACTATCAAATGTTTTAATGTCCACACTGTTCTCAAAAGAAACACTGCCTTCACTACATGTCTGAGCTCATCACTCTCATACTCGATTAGTCACTCACAATGCCTAGTCCACTTTGTCTATGTGTGTTTGTCTCTTCTCGATACCTCACAGAAATGGACTCAGGCAGCACGTTTAATTTTTTAGAAGAGTTCAATGCCACAGATACAATCTTGAACAATACGAAGTAGGCACAAAAGCAGTATCCTTCCTTTGTAATTTAAATATTTCAATAGTAGTTTTTTAATGTCTGTTATTAGAACTCATCCACTTCAATTTAAGACCTGTATAAACAATATTATTTCTATTTTATGAAATAGAAAATTACCTGACAGGCTCCAAATTGAAATATATTAATTCTCAAATTTATGTTTACAATTATATGGGTGTGGAGATCCACAGTTTTCTGCTATAAGGCCAGATGTGGTTAACCAAACACAGTTGGATTCACCAAGTAATGATTCCTGTATCCTGTAATGGTGGAAAATGTATCATGAAGCTATGTTTAGGGAATGATCTATGAAACAGAAGCATTTTAAAAAATGATTTTAAAAAGTGATATACATTTATAATATATTAGGCAATGACTTTTCATACAATCATATGAGTAAGAGCTAGTATTTAGAAAGCTATGCATTAATATTTATATTAATTTCGCAAACTTACAACATATTTCATGTTCAAATAAATTAATAAGAAAATTCTTAATTTTTCCTTTTACTACTTCTTCTACATGTATCAATTTAAAAAGGAAAAAAAAACTTACTGCAGATGGAACACTGAGCCATTTACCAGCAGCCATGGGTGATCTCTGCCAGAACACAAGATGCCAATCCAAGTTGCACGTGAGAGAGAACGTAGAAATTTCTGTCACATGTCACAAGTAATGTCACAAGTAATTTCATTCACATGATCAGTAGTATGAAAGCTTTCATTATTTTATAGTTTTGTAGAATTCTTAATGTTCAACAAAAAAGTCAATAAGCTAAACCATGTTAAGTTAAAAACAACTTTTATATTGCTAAAAATTTCCGCAAGTGATTTTAATATTGATTGAAAGCTAACTCTTTTCTGACATTACCAGTCCTATGGACAACCCACTACTATTATGGACTACTGGATTATATAGGATTATTTTACTGAATTCATGCACGTACAATATTTAAATGGCAATGGAATACCCATCTCTGAAAAAAACTAAACAAAAAAGGGGGATACGAATGAAGGATCACTTTGTATCTGTATATACAAATAGTTAGGATAGATATACAGCTACTTTCTCTTAATTCAGTGAGAAGAAAGATTTGTACTAACAGTGTTTGGACAGGATATCATGTTTGCATCTTGTACTATGAATAACCACTACAAAGACAACAATATGCAACGTACTAATTATTGAAACTGTCCTACTAATCAGTTTTGAAAGTATCTCTTTGCTGTTTGTTTCTCAATAAAATTAATTTAAAAAGAAACAGAAAACTAACTCTTAGAAGTTTACTCTAAGATTAGCTTTTTTATGCTAAGAGGGATGATGTGATTCATGTAATATAATAGTCACTCAAGTTAACGGAACAAACCTAGCAAGGTTTAGGTAAGTTTCCAGATACTGCACATTAAATTCTCCAGATGCTGTGACTGAAAAAGGATGTTTTTGCACTAGGTCTCTCAGAGTTTGGACTTTGGAAGGAAATTATCCACTTACTACTGAAGAAATAAATAACATGAAGCAAGAAATGTGGTTTTCTTGACGCTGCACCACTGTCAATAATCTGCCCCTTCCTGCCTGCACTGGCAGAATACTGATGGTTCAGACAAAGTTGCAGCAACTTATTTTCCTCTGTTTCTTTCTGACATAAAGTCACAAATTAATGAAAGACACAGGTAAAGGGGAATTCTGAAAGGTAGAAGTAAGAATGTGAACAAGTTTGGTCCTCAAGAGTAAAGAAGCAGAGGGGCCTGGCTTCTCCCAGCTGTCATCAGCACAGGAAGGGACCTCAGCCCGCAGGCTCCAGCTCCAGCCCAGCAGTCATCAGTGGCCCGCCGCTGTGAACTCAGCCCTGCCCTGTAATAACGGAGCCCTCCAGCAGCACCACACAGCGCTGAGTGCCCTGGTGAGGGCGGGCTCTCTGGAGACAACTGCCTACTTAGTAAGCTGCCCTGAGAGTGCTTCTCCTCCTCAAGGACACCAGGGCAGGGATGGTATGTGAGGTTCAGCAAAGAGGATTCAGGGATGGAATGCCTGCTCTTGGCAGCCTCTATCCTGAGAATACAACCATCAAGTCACCAGGTATAGTTAATCTGAAACTGAAGCAATCTTTTTTTTTTCCAGAGCCAGGGATTGAACTCAGGCCCTTGCACTTGCCAGGGAAGCGCTTATTCCACTGAGCCATCTCCCCGACCCTAAAGCTTTTAATTAAGTATGTGAAACAGTGAAAACCTTACCAGTTCTTTCCCATCATCTATGTAAGTCAGGCTAGAATTCTTAGAAGAGCAGGACACCAAACTCTCATTCCAAGTTTTCTTTTCCGAACCAAAGTAATAACAATTGTTGGAAAATGTGAGCCACTCATTTGGACAATGAGCACAATGATATGCTGAGGAAAGATTGTGGGTTCCTATCAAAAAAACAATGTGAATTTTAAAAATTGAACATAAATTTCTATGTTACAATTTACATATAACACGCACATGAATGTAACATCTGCGTACCCCATACACTGGTATATATTGAGTAAAACATGGTCTTATAAACAAAAACAAGCCAGGTCAGCCTCTAGTCTTGTAATTAACATGTTCAAATAAACTTTTTAAAAAAGCTTCACCCGATCAGTATCTCGAAATAAGTGAACAAACCTCTTTTCTATAATAGTAAATTCATCTCTCATCGTATTACTTAAGAAGGAAATTTGAGCCGTTATGAAGATTGTACAGTAATTTTAAATGTGTATTTCTATTTTTTGAACAAATATAAATGTCTCCTATAATCTTTATTTATGAATATTTAGTGACCATTTTATAGCTTGTTTTCTCCCCAGAAAACCTATTATCATTTCTTATGGTCTGAGATAGGGGAAAAATATAATCTCTGAATATATAAGAACTTTGAAATTTATTACATACCTTTTGGAGTTCTTACCAATGAAGATTTGTTCTGGTCCTCTATTATGGTAGCTAGAAAAAGTAAATATTTCTTATAAATATTAATATGCAAATAAACTAAATTTTAGTACTTCATTGGAAATTTATATGATTTATCCAATTAGAATAATGTACAATATAAGTAATTCTACCAAGAAAATTAATTAAACAATGAAATTTTGGGAAAATAATTTTAGTAATTAAAGTGTATGGTAAACATCAAAATCTTTTAGTTATAAAATAAGTATTTGTATTTTTAGTAAAGTATTTCAAATCGCTAATGCATACTGAGTTATGAAATCACAATGAAGAAATACAATTAAAAACAAGTACTCATTACTGTCCTTTATTTTTTATACTTTGGAAAAATTCAGAATAACTATCCACAGTGCACATAGAAATGAAATTGAGAGTTTGTCTGCTGATATTGTGGACTTTCAGAGATACTCTCAATCACCACAGTAGGACCTTCTTGTACAAGCTTTGAAAACTACACTCACAGGGACTACAGCTCACCGTCACTGTCACTGTGATCATTAAGACAAGGCAGGTGACTCCCAGGAATCCAGCAACAAGCTTCTTAGGAGGTGATGCACCTCTTTTTGCCCATCTTTCAAAATTCCCTTTACCTGTATGTCACATTAATTCATGAATTTATGTCAGAAGAAATTACAAGAATACCACTTGGTACTGAACCGTCAGTCTTCCATCAGTGCAGGCAAGAAGGGGCAGGTTATTTGGCTAATTTATCTATTAATAGTACATCAAGAAATTGGAGTTGATTGAGAAAGATTGTGTACCAATTTTATTTCATTTTATTTTATTTTTAAAGAGAAAGACACTTTATTTATTTATTTTTTGGTGGAATCAGGGATTGAACTCAGACCCTAGTGCTTTCCAGGGAAGCGCTTATTCCACTGAGCCATCTCCCCAGGCTGTGTACCAATTTTAAATGATATATTTCATAATATAGGACAAAAAGGAGTATTTTCCTGTGATCAATATTTATGAATAGTTGGTGCCCAGTTTTCTAAATTTCTTTTCTCATAAGATTTTCAGCATCATTTTTTTGCATAAGTTCAACTAGAGACAAAATATAATCTATACAAATACCAGGACATTGAATTATCATATATCATTCTCTGTTTTTAGCTGAAAAAAACTGTCTACCGTGTATATTGTGGTAGCTAGAAAAACAAAATGACTCTTATACAAAGTAATACATAAATGTGACTCTCTAATTTTGCAATTTATATGCTGTGCAGACAGAACAATATGGAACAAAATTTGTTTAATCAAGAAGGTTATTAAAGTGATGAAAGATTTCTGGAAAAGCACTTCGGTAATTACAGAATATAATTACATAATACAATTTAAAACAAATCTACAATTTTCTTTTCATTTACAACTTTGAAAAGTTCATAATCATAATCCATGTTTAATTCAACAAAATGAGAACTCTATTCCTGATATTAAGTAATGTTTGCAGGCAAATTCAATTATGAAAGTACAACATTCCCTTATTATCATTTTTCAATATTCTTACAGGAAATAGTGACTGTTACTGTGAGCATCATAGCGAGTTTTAAGCAGAAGAGTCCCAGGATCCCAGCAGTGAGCTTCTCTAAGGTCACAGAAAACATGTAAGAAGAGAAAAACATGAGACAGGAGGACAGAGGTGATCCTTCAGGTCACATACAGGAGAACTCAGATGCGTTGGGAAACATAAACTTGAACCTCAAATGCACAATTACAGCTGCAATTTGCCTTTACAATATCCCAATACATTTTCAGTAAACATAATGCTCTTTAAATTTTTCCTCAAAGACTGGAACTTTCAATCATGTCTAAATAAACTTACTCATCATTGAATTGGAATAACATAGCTCAGTGTAGAGCTGCTGTCTTCACAAATGACATAGGCGAAAAAAAGTTTCCTACTTTTACGCACACCCTTGAAATGCAACTATCACAGTGAGGTGGACAGAGGAAGAAAAGTGTTACCTTTGCACACCTCATTGCCTGGAGACGCCTGAGAGGCGTTGCTAAGGCTTAATTCCACATGGGTCATCTCCTGCTCAGTTAGGGAAATGGGACCTGTAGCCTCCGCAGGTTTCCTTTGTGGCTTCTTTTGGTGCTTAGCCAGATTCAGCCACCTCTGGTTACTCATTGCTGCAGATGGAGGAAGTCAGGGACTGTGCTCTGAGCACTGTGCCTCAGGAGCTAAGAAATGGTCAGTGTGGTTACAATGTGTGGGTGGCGCTGGGAGGAGGGTGGGGATGGACAGTAAAGGGTATTATTTTTTTAAGGGGAAGAAACTAAGACTTTCCCTAGAACATTAGGTATGTCTCATTGTAAAATACAGATTATTTTACTTTTGACAAAATATTATTGGCAGACAAAACAATAAACTAAGATGTTCATGAAAAAATATAGAAATAATTTAATGTCAGTTTAAAATGGAATATTTTAATACATGTGTGAAAAATTATAATGCCATAATAAAAGTTATATGTAAAATTTTATTATAAATTGATATTTAATGATAGTTTAAAAATTAGGTCTCTAAACATGAAATGAGAGGTGATATATATTAATTTTTTACTCTATTATGTTAAGAATTTATGCAAAATGGTTTATAGATCATGAAATAGTCTTTAATATTTGAGGAATTCTGAAATATTAAATTTTAAGGATATTATATATGTTTTAAAAGTTATAGACAATACAGAAGTGCTACAAGTGATTTTTAAAACTTATTTTTGTAAGACAATTTGTCATTGTAATGACTACAATACAAAAGTATAAAATGATAAATTGAAGTTTTACCGTAGAACATTTTGACTCAAACCTCCAGAAGAAGTCTATGGTGGTCAAAACAGGTGAGAATCACCTTAGGTTGTAATCAATTGTAATAATTCAGATTATATAGTTTAATACCTGAAATAGCAGGTCCTCAGGTCGGTGATATGCAAAATTATCTTTGGCTTTGAAGCTGACAACATGTGAATTCTAAAAAGACAGTAAAGCACCTAATAAACTAATTATGCCTCTAAAAATGCAAATATGAATATATCATGTACAATACCTGTTGAATACCTGTCATCTCAGTCTTCTAAATGTGTACCATTTCTTATTTATTTATTTATTTTTTTTTTTTTGTGTGTGTGTGTGTGTGTGTGTGTGTGTGGCCAGCTCAGCCCACCAGGGGGCGGGCCTGGCTGGCATGTGATGCTGGGGGATTGATCCGCAGTCCCTTGTGCTTTGCTTAGCTTAGCTTGTTCTAAGTAGGTGCTTTAGACCACTGAGCCATCTCACCAGACCTGTGTACCATTTCTAATACTATACCAATTCTTACTCTAACCTCTTTAAAATCAATTTTTAAAAAGGCAAAAAAAAATAAGTTCCTCCTCAAAGACTTGAACTTTCAATCATGTCTAAATTAAATTACTCATCATGCCTTCAATTAGAATAACATAGCTAATTGGGACTTTCAATCATGTCTACCAAAGAGCTGCTGTCTTTACAAGTGAATTATGTGAGCTTGTTTCCTGATAAAACAGTTCACTCTGAGGATAGCTCTTAAAACTCTAAGGAAACGTTAGCTATTGAGTCACTATTTCAGTCACTGTTGCTTTGCAATTGTGTAACATATGAACTAGACAATAAAAATAAGTCACTACACAGGGATCTTTCATCCATCTGGGAAATCAATTTTTGCAATATTTTCATCTATTGTTAGAATCATGATTATTTAGAGTTGTCTAGAATTTCATGAAATGTATCTCATCTCGATTTTATTTAAATATAACAACCAATTTTGCATAATACAATTGCATATATTAGGTCTTCCTTATTGAATGAATTTCCTTTTAAGAATCTATAGTGGGGGACCACCTGCTTGGTGCCCCCTTCTGTCCCTCTGTTGGACAGGCGCTTTCTTTCCCTGAATAAATATATTCTGCTCATATCCTCCCTTTGTTCCTAAAATTCAGTCTTCCATTTTAGAGAACATGAACTCGTTCCAGGTACCTTTCAGGTCCAGTGTTTCACTTTTCCCCTATATCATTTGGAGATGATCCACAGAGATAATTTTTACCCTGTGTCATTTCAGGTTCCCACCAACATCATTGGAGAGAGATTATGGGAATTTCATAGTCCAAGTCTCTTACTCCTTTAGAGAACATCAGTACACACTGGAAGACATTTGATCTATACACTCTAAAGAGCAGTTTAATCCAAATGGGATGCAGAGGGAAGAATCAATTACCACACTGTTTTGCAATTAGAATGATACTGTAAAAATCAAAATGAAATTTGTTCTTTCCTAGAAGACAGCAAGCTCCTTGGGATTTGGAAAGAAAATGCCTGGTGTCATACCTAGTGAAAGTAATGGGCTTTCAAGAGGTAGTCCACCCAAGAAAAACAGACTTTCCTTGAAGGTTTTTCAGAAAAAATGAATCTAAGCGAGTCTTAGATTTTACAGACTCTCCAGAAAATGAAGAAAAACTGAATATAGAGGATCAGAAATTGACCAAGTTGTTCCTGCAGCACAGTCCTCTCCTGTAAACTATGAGAAGAAAGAAAACTTGTTGCCCTTTGTAGGGCTGAAAAATCTTGGCAATATTTATTATCCTAATAGTATACTTCAGGTATTATAATTTTTCCTTGTTTTAAATCTGGACTGTAGCACTTATTTAATACTATCTCTAAGATGCAAGAGATGATAACAGATGAAGCAAATTTAAAAGAAAAGGGAAACTGCAGAGAAGATTCTTTGGCAAGTTATGAATCTACATGCAGTTTACAGTCCTTAATCATTTCAGTCAAACAGCTTCAGGCTAGTTTCCTCTTAAATCCTGAGAAATACACTGGTGAGCTTGAAACTCAGCCAAGATGACTGCTTAATAGACTCAGGGAACTTAACCCTATGTGTGAAGGATTTCTATAGCATAAGGCATAGGAAGTATTGCAGTGTATTTTTGGAAACATCCAAGAAACATGCCAACTCCTAAAAAAAAGAATTAAAGACTGTGGTAGAGTTACCCACAAAGGTAGGAGAAAAACCTCATCAGAAAGTGGAAGTGAGTGGAATTAACAGCATGAACATGGACAGTCAGGAATTCTGAGGACTATAAAGAAAGACCTCCAAAAGTGAATGGAAAAAGGAAAAATAACACTGAATTTGGTAACATGAAGAAAAAAGTCAAAGTCTCCAAGGAATATCCATCTTTGGATGAGAACCAGAAATGGCAAACCAGATGAAAAAGAAAAGTTTCTGGGGATACACTGAAGAGTCCTCTTAAAGTAACCCCCATGTGTGTTTCTGAAAATGAGAGCATAAAAGCCTCTTAGAAGAAATCAAGAGTCAAAATAAATAGGTTAAAGTCTGCAACAAAGCAACCCAGCATCCTTTCTACGCTCTGTAGTCTGGGAAAACTAACAACAAACCAAGGCTCTAAAGGACAAGCGAAAGGACATGAGTATGATTTTGAAAGGGGCATGGGGAAGGCTGAGGCAGTAATGCAGCTAAAGGTTGTGGCCTTGAATCTCCAGAAAATACAACACCTAGAGGTGTTAATGAAATTAAGTCCATAAACAAAGGTGCAGAGCAAATTGGTTTGGAACTAGTGGAAAAATTATTTCAAGGTCAACTGGAATTAAAGACTCATTGCTTATAATGTGAAAGTTTAAAAGAAAGATTTTCGGACATAAGTATGCCAGTACAAGAAGATGAGCTTCCCAAAGGAGAGGATAATTCTGAAAAATTCAACAGTAAATCCATCTGGAACTGGACTTTTCTTTACTGCTTCTTCAAGCCAAAAACAGAAATAAAGATCTTGAGATGGGCAATTTCACAGTTTGATTCAGTGGAGAGGATTGTAGGAGGAGATAAGTATTTCTGTGAAAATTACCATCACTACACTGAAGCCGAGCAAAGTCTTCTGTTTGACAAAGTGCCTGAAGTTTTAACAATTCATTTGAAGTGCTTTGCTGCTAGTAGCTTGGAGTTTGAGTGTCACAGTGGTGGACTTTCCAAGATCAACATGCCTTTACTGACGCTCCTCAAATTGTCACTAGAAGAGTGGAGCACAAGGCCAACCAATGACAGCTATGGATTGTTTGCAGTTGTAATGCACAGTGGCACTACAGTTAGCATTGGGCATTCCACTGTTTCTGCTAAAGTTACTGACCTCAACAGCTTAAAACTAGATAAGGAGAATTTTGTGCTGACCAGATCTATGAAGTAGGTAAGCCAGATTCACTGAAAGAGGAGAAAACAAGGGGTGCAGGTGAAAAGTGTGATGACGAAGAGATGTCAGTGAGAGTTGGTGGAAATACACAGCCAAGTAAAGCTTTGAACAACAAAAAAAAAATGTAGACGTTATTGGACCTTTCAGAGGACAAAAGGACAAAGCAGATTATTAGCTCTACAATAAAGTGTCTAATCCTGAGAAGCCTACCAGTATCACATTTGGTGAAAGTAGAAGTTTTGAGATGAACTGTACAAATGGGGCACACAAAGTGGACAGGAAGAAGGAATCCGGGCACCAAACAGGCATGTGTGGCTTTGAAAACCAAATTTCCTGTGTAGTGCAAAGCTATAAGAAGTGTGAGGGCAAGTGGTTGCTTTTCGATGATTCTGAAGTGAAAGTTACTGAAGAGAAGGACTTTGTGAATTCTCTTTTCCCTTCTACATCTCCTATGTCGACTTCTTACCTGTTATTTTATAAGAAATTGTAGAGTGGGTATATTTTTTTCCTGTGTATATATTTAAAAAGCCTGGCCAACATTGGTAAAGCTGATTAAAGCAAATAAACTTTTAGCTTATCTTTAAAAGCTACTGGGGCAGGCCAAATAGCTCAGCAGATTAAAGGACCTACAAGCAAGAACAGGGGTCGGGGTTTCAATCCCTGGGACTTCTGTGTCAGCCCCTCCCGGGGCGCACTGAAATGGCAATGGAGACTGGGCATGGTGGCACGAGACTGCAATCCCAGCTCTTAGGAGGCTGTAAACAGGTGGATCGCTATGAGACTGATCTAGTAATGAGATCCTTAACACACTGTAGACCCTTCCCTAAAATATAGGAAAAAAATAAAATAAAAGCTGCTCTATATTATGGTTCTTTGTAGGTTTTTATATGAAAGTAAGATTTGAAATACTGACAAA